AGAATCCCCCCCCCCCCCCAAAACCTGTTCAGCGCAAACCCATCTGGAGACTTCGCTGGTCATGACAAGCACAGTGCTGATTGTCTACAAAACACTTAAACAAATACTAACCCATAACCCTAACCTAAACCAGATCCATTGATCAGTCAGTCCATTCATGATTTTCACAAAGTATGAACTTTTCATGACAGGTGACCATGATTGAGCTGACCAATGAAATCAGCCGAGGGGCGGAGTTAGATAGATAGATAGATAGATAGTTAGATAGATAGATGGATGGGTAGATGGATAACATGCTAGTAATTCATGCTTGTTGATTAGAGGATGCTCACTCGTCTAACGTGTTTCTCATACTTTCATCTCTTCCTCTTTTTTGGGCTTTCGTTAGAATCTAAACATCCGAGTGTGTAAATAGTTCCTCTGATCTGTTCACCTCTACAGCATCAGTTTATTATGGTGCATCACCTCACGTTCTTATTTCCTGTGTTTGGTAACAAACCAAATGTGCAAATGCTGTGATATGTAGCATCTCTATAAATATCTGGCTCAAATTAATGCTACTCTGACAAATATTCACTACAGTATAAACGGTGTGACAACTAACCCTGCTCTCCACTAACCTTTAACACATCATGCTTGTTTTTAACCGGTGTAAACAGTCCTGTACAAACATCAGCCATTGGATGGATGGATGTGTGACAGCAGATTCACATACAGTATCATATACATGACAGTGAGAAAGTTCACTGCAGACCAATACCTCAACACCAGCACAACAATTTATTGATTTCTAACATTCTGTGATCAGCAATGTTATTTTACATTGCAGTGCATTAAAGGAATAGTTCAGCCAAAAATGAAAATGTGCTGAAAATGTGCTCACCCTCAGGCTCTCCAAGCTGTAGAGGAGTTTGTTTCGTCATCAGATTTGGAGAAATGTAGCATTGCATTAGTTGCTCACCAATGGATGCTCTGCAGTGAATGGGTGCCGTCAGAATGAGAGTCCAAACAGCTGATTAAAACATCACAATAATCCACAAGTAATCCACAGCACTCCAGTCAATCAGTTAATGTCTTGACAAAAGCTGCGTGTTTGTAAGAAACTAATTCAACATCAAGAAGTGTTTCACCTCAAACCATTGCTTCCGGCCAAAATATTAGTCCATAATATTTATAATGTGGCTTCCTCCAGTGAAAAAGTGGTCTGATCTGAATCAGGAGAGAAATCTTCACAGATCAAGCACAGTCCAAACAGATCAAAAAACAGATCAAATAAATATGTGGGTGGATTTTGATGTGAGAGACAACAGGAGATGGACTTTTTCAGCATTATTATGGACTCGTATTTTAGTTAAAAACGTCTTGATGGATTTGTTTCTTACAAACACGCAGCTTTTGGCTTCACAAGATGTTAAATGATGGACTGGAGTGGTGTGGATTATTGTGATGTTTTTATCAGCTGTTTGGACTCTCATTCTGACGGCACCCATTCACTGCAGAGCATCCATTGCTGAGACACTGATGCAACGCTACATTTCTCCAAATCTGATGAAGAAACAAACTCATCTACATCTTGGATAGCCTTAGAGTGAGCACAATTTCAGAAAATGTTCACTTTTGGGCAAACTATTGCTTTAATGACTGACAGGCTGTAATTAGCCATGGGAATGTTCTGCTAACCAGAATGAATTTTGTCAGACATTCGTTCTGTGCAGAGAGAGAGACACAAACGAGTTGAACATGAGGTGAAATACAGAGGGAGACTGTACAAAACAGGCCTTGTTATCAGTCACACTGATAACTATTGTTTGCCATCTCAGTCTGTGGGAGTTTCGTGCTTCTCATCTGAGATCGACTGTGACGCTCCAAGTTTTACATCTGGAGAGTCAAAACAAAGTCCAGAGAGCAGTTCAGTCATGCAGCAGCATGTTGGTTTACACGTTTCTCTCTCTTTGGGTCTGGAAGAGACGTCTCACCCTCTCCAGTGCTTTAGCCTCCGCTCACAGCTCTGCTGAGAATTAGTTTGCAAGCTTGTGTGAGAAATGACACTCCATACAGAGTGTTGTTTCTCTCACTGAATGATCCTCTTCAAGATCCTCTTTCACCTATTTAATTAAACAAGCATATTTTCTCATAAGATGCGCGTAAGTTAAATTGTCCAGGTTGGTCTGAAGTGTAAACATCAGTCTAGAGTTAAAGCAGTGCTCTGTCAGTGAGGGCTGTTAATAAGTGTGAAAGCCATGTAATGGATGAGTGAATAATAGGAAACAGACACTTCCCTTATTAGCCCTGTTGGGCTGAAACTGCTGACAGCTTAAAATACGGGGAAAAAACTCCTGGCTTAAATGCACTGTATGAGTTTGCTTTCTAAAGCAACCAATTCTGCACAATTATGGAAAAAAAACGTTAAACTCATAAGGAATAAAGTTCTTGGCTTTTAATTATACCATATCTTTAGGAATAAATTATTGTATTTTTATTACTTCATTATTTTATTACTTTCAAAAAATATTATTTGTATTAATTTGTTGTTATAAAGAATGATTATTATTATTATTAAGAATAATCACATTTCTTACTATAAGGATAACTGTTTTATTAATAAGAAGGAATAATTGAAAACAATAATGATTTACCTTTTAATCATATTAAGTCTAGAATTTCTTTTTTTATTATTGTGAATAAATAATTTTGTCATTACTACTACATATACATTTTCAATAAATTATAAACAGCAGTAATAAATAATAACTATTAAAAACATTAATAACAATAATACATATTTTAATATAAAAATAAGAATATTTCTGTTAATAAGAAAGGTTAATGAGAAAACCAGAAAGATCCTGCCTTTTAATTAAATTAGAAGTCTATAATTATTTTATTATTATGGATAAATGATTTTACTGTTATTAGTATTGCTGCATTTTTATTTTCAATAAATAATATTAGTATTATTAAGTTCGTATATTATTATTTTTCTTAATAATAAATCATTTCATTATAAAAATAAGAACATTTGTATTAATAAAAAATGATTAATTAGAAAACAAGAAAGATCTTGCCTTTAAATTAAATTAGGAGTTTAGATTTATTGTTTTAAATATTATTATAAATAAATAATTTTATTATTATTACATGTTTTATTTTCAATAAATATTACTACTATTATTTAGTACTTATGATTATGGTTAATAATAATAATAATAATAATAATAATAATAATAATAAATAATAATAATAATAATAATAATAATAATAATAATAATAATAATAATAACTATTATTAATATTATAATTAATAACAATACAACAACAGTAGTAGTAGTAAGTAATAGTAGTTTTTATTTATTTATTTATTTTATTATTATTATTAACAAGACTGCCTTTTAATTTTTATAACAAGAAGAACCAAAGTCCCTTTAAGGGAAGTTCATTCAGCAGCGTCTCAGTAACAGCCATCAGGCCCTGAAGTGCTCTGTGTTTATATGTTGGGTGGATCCGCTGGTTTTCATGAGGGTCAGGAAAGCCTGACTCACACAGAGTGGCCCATTCACGACGACTCTGATTCTCTGAACATGAAGTCAAACATGCGGATCTAGACTGATGGAGTCACACTGACTCACGCTCACGTCTGACTGGAAATACCTTAGATTTACAAAATTAACCATTAAAATGCTACAAAATACTCCTGTATAAATCAGTGCAGACTGTAGCCAGTCATTATAATACAGATCTATCAGATCTGATGATTGACACACACACATATGCAGTATGTCATATATGAACAGCTGTTAAATCAGACTGAATGTGTCTTCTACATACACTTACAGAGAAAGACCAGAGGCCTCTGATATCATACAGCTATCATATTCCATAGGGACTTAAAGGAACACTCCACTATTTTTGAAAATAGGCTCATTTTCCAACTCCCCTAGAGTTAAACAGTTGAGTTTTACTGTTTTCGAATCCATTCAGCCGATCATCATTCCTAGCCATATCGGCCTAGAAAATCGCAACTTTTAATTTTCCGTATAACTTTTTGTTGTAACTAACTACAAAAGAGTCAAGTTTTAAATAGGAAAAATATAGAAACTCTTTGGTCATTTTTGAGCGAGATGCTAACGGTCTAATCAGATTCAATGATCTATGCTAAGCTACAGCTAAAAGTGCTACCGCCAGACCCGGAGATCGGCTGAATGGATTCGAAAACGGTAAAACTCAATTGTTTAACTCTAGGGGAGTTGGAAAATGAGCCTATTTTCAAAAATAGTGGAGTGTTCCTTTAAAGCATGTATGTTGAGAGTATAACAAGGGTCTGTATTTACCGTTATTGATCCCGATGTGATTGATGAGGTTCTGGAGACGCAGGCCGTCTGTTTGCATCCACAGGCACATTTGGCATCTGATGATGGACATCCTCAGGGTTTAGATGGTCAACCATCTGAAACATGCATTATTTAATCATACATATGTCAGGACAAGCCGGCACATCAACCCAGATCAGAACATGGACCAAAGCATTAGGGAGTTTGAGCAACTCACAGCATTATAGTTAACTAAAACTAAAACAAAACATTACTTGAAATAAAATAAACACTAAAGTGCAAATCAAATATTTAAAATAAACTTATTTCAGGTAGTTGACTGATACTAAAACAGAATAACTACAACATATAGACATAAAAAAAAATTAAAAAAAAGTCAAAACATAAAATTACTAACTTTATCTAAAATGAAAACTGAAAATACAAAAATAAAATGTAATCCGAGCTGAAATGTTCAAAATTCAAAGCTGTAATCATAAAATAATTTCCTTTTTGACAATTTCCTTTTTATTTATGTAATTATTAGTGCTGTCAAACGATTAATAGCATCCAAAATAAAAGTTTATTTACATAATATATGTGTGTACTGTGTATATTTATTTTGTATAGTGGTGTGAAAAAGTGTTGGCCACCTTCCTGATTTCTTATTTTTTTGCATGTTTGTCACACTTTAATGTTTCAGATCATCAAACAAATTTAAATATTAGTCAAAGATAACACAAGTAAACACAACATGCAGTTTTTAAATGAAGGT